GCATCTGGATGCTGCGACCGTTTCAGCAACTTCGAGTACTTGATGTATCGCTCTAAGCTCCGGTAGCGTCCGTTGAAAGGGGCCCAGCAGCCAGTTCCGAGGGCCGCAGTGTCCCCATAGAGAGGAACTTCACCCTCCTTCAGCAGGTTGATTCTCTCTGCAATCGAATCCATCCCGGAGTGTGCCAGGACAGTATGCCAGTTCTCCAGGGAGCCTCCCTTGACTTCAGCGTATAAGATGTTGGAAACTCGGTTTTGGGAGCAGATGTCGTAGAGGACGTCGTGCGAGTTAGCAACGATCATCGAGATGAACATTGATGGTTTTCCCAGTCGGTATTGCTCGCTGTTCTGATAACCGTAGGGTCCTTGTCCGCCGCAGTCACCTACGGCCAGAGGAATGCACTCTTCAGGGCTCATGTCAAGGTCCCCGAAGCTGAACGCTCCATGCTGCTCTCTAATCCACCGTTCGTGCTGCATTCGGACTAGTTGCTGGATATCATAGCTGAGGAGAGCAGCGAGGGCGAGACCGCGCATACCGTTCTCAGGAGATGAAAGGCACATCTTTGCAACTCCGAGAGAGTGCTCGAATGCGTGCTTGAATTCTGGACGGCGATCCATATCATAGTCGACACTGCTGAGCATCTGGAGGCAGGCAGCCTCGTCCATAACAGCATCGGGAATGATCTTCTTCATCATCCCATGCCAAATCCAGGCTGGGCAAGGGGGTATGTCGACAACTTGTAGTCCATTCCATCGGCTTGCTACCGCAGCGTAGTCGGAATCGAGCTTCCAAAGCTTGCCGCCAAGGGTTTTAGGACCGATTTCGACAGCAGAAGGGCGGCATCCGCTCCTTACAGTCATCGTCAGGCCATGACATGGAGTCTTTTTCTTCATGCCGCGAACTTTTCCGTACATAGCGACAGCGACCAATGCGTCTTCAAGCATCTCGTCGTGCTGTTTCAGTTCGGGGAAATTATTCGACAAGAACCTCCATGTCGATATCGCGCCGCACGATTTAAAGTGAGCTTTTGCGGCTTCCAACGTTGCCGAGGATTCCGTGCCTTGCAGTTTGAGCCACTCCAGTACTAGTGATAGCCCTTGCACCTGCTGCAGATCAACTGAAGAGAGAGGGGCCGCATGGGTTGACATGTTGGAATCGTCCAGGGGCGGTGCCAGATTTGCCGAAGTGATGAAGAAACCTAGTGAAGAGGAAGAGTGTGGTTGATACACCTATTAGTAGCTCAGTCAAGGCGCTGTTTACCTGCCTTACGTCAACGATGAGTGACAACCCGCACACTAAGAGGGGACACCTCCTCGTATTTGCTATTCTCAATAGCTTTGACTCAGACACTTCCAGCAGGGAGTGGCTTCAAAAACATAATGGCATTGGCCCTATGAAGCGATAGACTTTGATCAGAAAATTGTGAGACAAACAACGCATTATGACGCAGTCATGCTTCTTTGAATCTAGGCATACGAACTTGTTATCAGTGTCTTTTGCCAATACCATTCCTGGGCTTTGGCCCACCATGTTGACGTCGTCATGGAAAGTCGTCACGGTGGAGAAATTGTAACAATGGCGTAGGAATTTGATCGGGCACCAGGCTCTAGGCATGAACCGCATATCATTCGTGTCAGCGTTCCCTGAGAGCAACGACCTCATGAGTAACCTTGCTAGTGAGATGCGTAGCGGTGATAGTCTGCAGCGTAAATGTTGTCTTCGCCTCGTGGAAAGCAGAAAGGCTTGCTGAGATGCAGCAGAAGAAGCCTGCTGCACAAGAGTAGTTGCTTGATGGCGTTGATGTTCGCTTTGCGGCCACCACACAGGCTGATTCGGCCACCACGCAGGCTGATTCGGCATCCAAGGCTCAAGCTGTTATCGCGAGCCCGATGGATTAAATTCGAGATGAGAAATTTAGTGTGCGCGCCTCTCCGAACAATTTGAGTTTGCTGTGGTCACATCTGAGACAATCTTGCTAGAATGCTGGTGTGGTGCGTAGGGGGGACCAAGTTTCAAGGCCGGAACACGGCTTGACATGAGAACACATGCCTTGCTAATCTGGGCTCCTGTCAGGACGTGAAGGTGAGCAAAGCGAAGATGTCTTCCCGGGTGATATGCGCAGTCAATGTTAGGTACTTAGGCATGGGGTAGGACTTGTCTGGATATTGGCCCTCCGCACCCCTTATATACGCTCTCTCGTAGTCCCCAGCCCCTAATCAGCCCCCTGTCCTGTGGCTCCGCAGGCGCCGCCTGATACCCCGTCATCGAACCCTCATCCCTTTAGCAACTATGAAGGATGGGAGATCTTTTATAATGATAAATTTAGGGGGGAATGAATTACTTCAATATACTATTCCCTTCTCTCTTCGGGTTTAGTAAGTTTGAAATCGGGTTTCGGAGGCCACCTCATGATGAGGTATCAAACGCGGGGGAAGCTGTATCAAAAAAAGCCAGAAGTACTGTTCTGACGCCTCTATTTGCCCTACTTCCTCAAAGCTGATATACGTGCCCCTGAATTATCTGTAATACATCGATTGGATTGCATCACTGAGATTGATGTGACCACTCTGGAGCTGCTGCATGGCGCTCGTGACACTCCTCAACAGAGGACTGGATGGAGACCGTCATGTTGAGCATCCGTGTATGAAGCAGCTAGAGGAAGCTTCTCGGTCCAATACTCAATCTAGACATGAATGTGCGCTCAGGCTGCGTGAGTATCCGTGGTGAGCACTCGAGATATGGCGCTGCTACCTTGCGGCACCTCGGACAGAGCACGGTATGGGAGCTAAAGATTAATCAGAAAAGCGAAGCTTGAATAATGAAAGGCACATGTAATTTCAAAATCGTCCGTCAGATGGAGAGCCGAGTCTGTATAGCAGCATACTTGATCGAACGACCGGAAGGGTTGACAAGGGTGAACCACACACACTGCCAAAGTGCTCATGCAATGCTCCTCACAAGAACCTGTATGGGCGGCGCATCATTAAGCCGGAGACATATGACACAGATGCCGTGTTGCCTGCCGCGCGAGACTTGTTCGCATGCCATTGGACGTGCCCCCTTCAATGCGGTAAAGGGTTTCCTTTCGGGAACAGAACAATATCGTTGCGCTCCGTCGCAAAAGAAGCAGGGGCCAGGTTTGCCGTAACGCTGTATTGACTGATGCTGAATAAATAGAGCCCCTGAAGCTTATGACGATGACAAAACTGACTAAGTATACGAGCTCGTGGGGCGGTCGGCCTGAGATTGCTCCGCACGAGGGCTGTGTCAATGAGTCCAAAGCGCCTGGCCTGTCGATCGAGCCAGCCAACAATATCGACTTCTTGGCAGCTTCTAGATAGAGTAACAAGGAACAACCTTCAGGGTCAATGGACGCTCGGAAGAAGAAGGGTCTCTACTGCAATGGCAACATCACGCCCGAGGCTCAGTCCGAGACGATGGCAGGTATAAGTCCCGACCCGTTCGCGCCCTTCGAGACAATTGCGCCATTGTTGTACCCATCAGCACCATAGAGCCCCGTCTCAAACTCAGCGCTTCACTCCCCATCATGCAGATCACATCCGTCCTCGCCGTCCTCGGCCTCGCCCTCGGCGTCACGAGCGCCGCCGTCGAGGCCCGCCAGCTCACCGAATGCACCCCGATCCACACCAGCAAGACCACCTGGGGCCAACACCCGATCTGCTGCGACTACTTTGGCCCTTCCGCGGTACGTCGCGACCTCAACTCCCGCCATGCCGCCAGACCGAAAGTCCCGGAGAGGGACAGCCCACCTCGCTGTGCGCCGCTCAGAGCTGACCCGTCATGCAGTCCATGGAGAACTGCTGCGATCGTTCGCCCAGCATGCCGACCGGCGGCAACTACTGCGGCACCCACTTCGCCGACAAGGACTGCCCGCGCGCCATGCCCTTCATCCGCACGTGGGCACCCGAAGCCCACCTCTGCTGCAACGGCCTGCCCCAGGTACGTCTGAGCGTGCGGCTCGCGCGGGGAACGCAACCGCCTGCCAGGGAGCGCCCCGCAGACATCTGTAGAGTGAGGACTTGCATGGCTGACAGTGCGTATAGCTCCGCTGCTGTGACCGTCTGGGCACCGACAAGACGGGCAAGCCGCTGTGCTCGTCGATCGGACCCCTGTCGCTGTAGGCGCATCACGTTGGCAGAGAGAGTCGGGACAATCGTGACGGGGTCTGTTAACTGGGACTGGGTGCCTCCATGAGTTTGGGCTCCTGAAAAGGCCTTTTCCGTGTTTGCAGGCTGGGCCGGTTTGTATTCTGCTCTTCAGATGTAACCTGTGAATATTTCCAGACGCCATGATGAGCCGACGTCGTAGTATATAAACCTTTGGACATACGCCGAATGACCGTGATTCAAATCTCTTTGATGATGTGCCTAGACCGGATTGAAGTCGTTGCGTTATAAGGGTTAAAAGGGCGCATGGGCGTCGAAGAGTATAGTTGCCAGACGCATAGTAAAGCTGTGCGATGTACGACGGCAGTAGTGTTTCCCGGAAGCTCGATAATACACGGTGGCATTCGAATAGATGCAGGCGAAAGACGAATGACATGCTCGAATACATCGGGGATACGCTCGGTCTGCGTGACGTCATGAGAGATGTTTGCATAGGTATAAAGAAATTCATTGACTCCTCTGTCCCATAATTATCATACCTCGAATCCAGTCGAGACGTACACAACATAAGAAGCGCTCACCATGAACTCTCTCTCTCTCTCTCTTCATCGTCTCAGCCCCTCTCGTTGGCTCATGTCATGCGGCCCAACGGCCAGCACAGTCCATCATATCCTAGTGCTGGGCAAGCCCAGTACCTGACAACGCCGGCCTCATACGCTATGCTCCGGGTCAGACTTGCCACTAACGGCCATAGCCGCCGAACCATGCCATTCGTTACATTGCATATGCAATCGAATCCGGCGGCGCGCCTGCCTTTTTTGTGACGCCATGATTTCATGCATCGTATCTCCTCAAAGCGTTCCATGCTCATACTCATCGCCGCGGCGGCGGTGACCAAAGACCCTTACTCGTCTCGGTGACCCGATTTTGGGCATTGCCAGGCTGCAGAATGGCTGGCACAGCATCGGTCATAACGACGTCTTGCGACTCAGAGGTTGTGCCGTACCCAGAGTCCTTCTGGGTCAAGCCACCGCCTCCAAGACTTATGGCACTGTCTTCCTTGCGAGCGGCGCCGTTGCCCTGCTGCTGCGGTCTTGCGCCTCGTGCCGGTTCCTTGGATGCAGCGCCGTCCATCAGGTTGCTCTGCCCCTCCCGTAGTTTGTTGATAGCACGGACTGTGTCAATGGCCGCATGCAGGGTGCGCCGGGCGTTGAAGTTTTTCTTCACCGTCGGCAGCAGATTGTTCTCGTTCTTCTCGCCTCCTGAAAGCGAACCTGCGACGAAGGCATGCTGGAGAGCCTCGTGGGCAGTGGGTCTCTTGGTCGCGTCCACAGTCAGACAGCGGCGGACAAAGTCCTTAGCATCCTCGGAAACGCCGCGCCAGTACTCTGAGGGCCGAAAATCGTACTCTGCTTTGAGGATGGCCTGCATCTCCTCGAAATCCGAGTCACGGTCAAAGGGTGTGTAGCCGCAGAGAAGGAAATAGGTGATGACGCCGAGAGCCCAGATATCAACAGGCTTGCCGTGCCCCGTCTTCTTGAAGATCTCGGGGGCCATGTAGCCGGGGGTGCCGCAGGTGGTTGTCAGGACATGGAACTGCTCTTCATCCATGATACGGCTGAGACCAAAGTCCGCAATCACAGGTCGGCGTTATCTTCCGG